GAACCCGGGAGGCGGAGGTTGCGATGAGCCGAGACTGATCGATCGCACTCCAGCCTGGGCAACAACAGTGAAACTCTGTCTCAAAACAAACAAACAAACAAACAAAAAGTTAGCCAGGCATGGTGGTGGGTGCCTGTGACCTCAGCTACTCAGGAAGCTGAGGCAGGAGAATCGCTTGAACTCAGGAGGCGGAGGTTTCAGTGAGCCGAGACTGGGTCACTGTACTCCAGCCCGGGGGACCGAGTGAGACTCCATCTCCAAAAAAAGAAAAAGAAAAAGAAATTTTTTTGTAAAGATGGCATTCTGCTCTGTTGCCTAGGGTGGACTTGAACTCCTGGGCTCAAGCGATCCTCTTCTTTTCTAAAGCTAATATTTGCCTCATCTTCACTTTTCACATCTTCTTTCCTCCCGCATCAGGGTCCTCGTCTTTCTCCCTCTTCACAAAGCTCACCTTCTCTACCGTCCCCTACCCCTCATGTGAAGGGTGTGCGAGGGACAATGCTCATCACCCAGCTTGGTTACCAGACATCTACTGGTCATCCTCAGCTTTCCCTGGCCCTCCCACACCAATCCATCACCAAGAGCCGCTGATGTCTCTCGAATTTTTTTTTTTTTTAGACAGAGTCTCACTCTGTCATCCAGGCTGGATGGAGTGCAGTGGCCCATTCTCAGCTCACTGCAACCTCCACCTCCTTGGCTCAAGGGATCTTCCTGCCTCGGCCTCCAGAGGAAGCTGGGATTACAGGCACACACCACCATGCCCAGCTAATTTTTGTATTTTTAGTAGAGACCGGGTTTCGCCATGTTGGTCGGGCTGGTCTTGAACTCCTGACCTCAACGATCCGCCTGCCGCAGACTCCCAAATTACTGGGATCACAGGCGTGAGCTACCACACCTGGCCAATGCCTCTTGTTGGTTTCAATCAGTCCAAGCACCTTTTGTGGCTTATGACTACAATGCACGATGGGAACACTAGGTTCCCAGTCTATGGATAGGGCCGCAGGCCAATTTTTATTTTGATTGGAAAGGACAAAGTTATGTCCTGAGGCTGACATCCGAGTAGGAGCATCACTTATGCTTCCAACACTAATACCCTCTTGTCTCATGTTGGCTACACTCAAAACAAAATTTAAAAATACAAAATGTACATACCTAAAGACAAGTTCCAAGAATTGCTTTCATAATCATAAGTATAGACTTTATGATTCACTACTAACAGCAACAATGAACCAGTAAAATGTGCTGATGTCACTTCTGGAACGCCGACCTGAAAGTTATCATATGAATGATATCAATGAGACCATCTTTTCAAACACTGATTCAGAAATCCAGACTTCTAGACATGCATTGAAAAAAAAAAAATTTATGGACAGGCGCGGTGGCTCTTGCGTGTAATCCCAGCACTTTGGGAGGCCAAGGCAGGTAGATCACCTGAGGTAAGGAGTTCGAGACCAGCCTAGCCGACAGAGTGAAACCCTGTCTCCACTAAAAATACAAAAATTAGCCAGGTGTGGCATCAGGTGCCTGTAATCCTAGCTACTCGAGAGGCTAAGGCAGGAGAATCACTTGATCCCAAGAGGCAGAGGTTGCAGTGAGCCGAGATCGGCTCACTCCAGCCTGGTGACAAGAGCAAAACTCCGAGAAAGAAAGAAAGAGAGAAAGAGAGAAAGAGAGAGAGAGAGAAAGAGAGAAAGAGAGAGAGAGAAAGAGAGAAAGAGAGAGAGAGAGAAAGAGAGAGAGAGAGAAAGAGAGAGAGAGAGAGAGAAGAAAGAAAGAGGCGAGGTGCAGTGGCTCACCCCTGTAATCCCAGCATTTTGGGAGGCCAAAGCAGGTGAATCAGCAGAGGTCAGGATTTCAAGACCAGCCTGGCCAACATGGTAAAACCCTGTCTTCACTAAAAATACAAAAATTAGCTGAGTATGGTGGCAGGTGCCTGTAGTCCCAGCTACTCGGGAGGCTGAGGCAGGAGAATCGCTTGATCCCGGGAGGCGGAGGTTGCAGTGAGCCGAGATCACACCATTGCACTACAGCTTGGGAAACAAGAGCGAAACTCCATCTTGAAAACAAAAAGAAAAAGAAAGAAAAGAAAAAAACATTTATGGCCGGGCGTGGTAGTTCACGCCTGTAATCTCAACACTTTGGGAAGCCAAGGCAGGCAGATCACTCAAGGTTGAGTTCAATACCAGCCAGCCAACATAACAAAACCCCGTCTCTACTAAAAATACAAAAAAATTAGCCAGGTGTGGTGGTACATGCCTGTAATCCCAGCTACTCGGGAGGCTGAGGCATGAGAATCGCTTGAACCTAGGAGGCAGAGGTGGCAGTGAGCCGAGATCGCACCACTGCACTCCGGCCTGGGTGACAGAGGCTTGGTCTCAAAAAGCAAAAACAAAACAAAACAAAACAAAACAAAAACAACACAAAAAAACCACACCATTTTCCATCCTGGCTGACATGGTGAAACCCCGTCTCTACTAAAAATACAAAAAGTTAGCCGGGTGAAACCCCGTCTCTACTGAAAATACAAAAAGTGGTGGCGGTACCTGTAGTCCCAGCTGCTCGGGAGGCTGAGGCAGGAGAATGGCGTGAACCCAGGAGGTGGAGGTTGCAGTGAGCTGAGATCGAGCCACTGCACTCCAGCCTGGGCCACAGAGCGAGACTCCATCTCAAACAAAACAAAACAAAAACACCACTTATGCCAGCAATAGTTGGTTGGTTCTCAGATACTGGGAACTGTGTATCTTGGGGCCAGCTAGAACCCAGTTGAAGCTGGTCTTGGATGCCCTCAGATGCCTCAATTCATTCCATCTCCTCTTCCTTTATAAAAATCTTCCCTGAAGCTGGGCGTGGTGGCTCATGCCTGTAATCCTAGCACCCTGGAAGAACAAGGCAGATCACCTGAGGTCAGGAGTTTGAGACCAGCCTGGCCAACATAGTGAAACTCCGTCTCTACTAAAAAATACAAAAATTAGCCGGCCGTGGTGGCTAATTTTTGGGGTAATCCCAGCTACTCGGGAGGCTGAGGCAGGAGAATTGCTTGAACCCAGGAGACAGAGGTTGCAATGAGCTGAGATCGCGCCACTGCACTCCAGCTTGGGTGACAGAGGGAGACTCCATCTCAAAAAACAAAAACCACAAAATCAAACAAACACACAAACAAAACAAAACCTTCTTGGAGGACAAAGCCTAAAGTATAAATGATGAATGACTAGCGTTAACTGTTAAGTGTTGCTTTTAGGAGAAATATTGGTATGTCGATAATTGACAAACCTTTATTTTTATTTATTGATTTTGAGACAGAGTCTCGCTCTGCCACTCAAGCTGGAGTGCAGTGACACAATCATAGCTCACTGCAACCTCCAGCTCCTGGCTCAAGCAATCTTCCCAACTCAACCTCCTGAGTTGCAGGAACAGCAGACATGCACCACCACACCAGCATACCCGGCCAATTTTTAACAATTTCTTATAGACTTGGAGTTTCGTCATGTTGCCCTGGCTAGTCTTGAACTCCTGGGCTCAAGCAATCTGCCCACCTCAGCCTCTCAAAGTGCTGGGGTTACAGGCTTGAACCACCACGTCCAGCCCAAAACTTTATTTAGCATAGGTGTCGATGGTATAATTTCTCAAACATTCACTAAGGGTGTGGTTTTCCTGCTTTGATTTAGGACAATTTGGGGGGTTCTTATTTTTTTTCCGTAGAGACACAGGTCTCCTTATGTTGCCCAAGCTGGTCTTGAACTCCTGGACCCAAATGATCCTCCTGTCTTGGCCAATCAATGTATGGGGATTACAGGCATGAGCCACTGTGCCTGACTGAGGGAAGTCTTGAAATTACTGCATGTAAAGTAAGATACCATCCCACCTATCTATTTTTTATTTATTTATTTTATTATTGTTATTTTTTAAGACAGAGTCTCCCTCTGTCGCTCAGGCTGGAATGCAGTGTCTCAATCTCGGGCCACTACAACCTCCGCCTCCTGGGTTTGAGCGATTCTCCTGCCTCAGCCTCCCAAGTCGCTGGGACTACAGGCCCGTGCCACCAGGCCCAGCTAATTTTTGTATTTTTAGTAGAGACGGGGTTTCACCATGCTGGCCAGGATGGTCTCAATCTCTTGACCTCGTGATCTGCCCGCCTCAGCCTCTCAAAGTGCTGGGATTACGGGCATGAGCCACTGTACCTGACCAAGGGAAGTCTTGAAATTACTGCCTGTAAAGTAAGATACCATCCCACCTATCTATTTTTTATTTCTTTATTTTATTATTGTTATTTTTTAAGACAGAGTCTCCCTCTGTCGCTCAGGCTGGAATGCAGTGTCTCAATCTCGGGCCACTACAACCTCCGCCTCCTGGGTTTGAGCGATTCTCCTGCCTCAGCCTCCCAAGTCGCTGGGACTACAGGTCCGTGCCACCAGGCCCAGCTAATTTTTGTATTTTTAGTAGAGACGGGGTTTCTCCATGTTGGTCAGGCTGCTCTTGAACTCCCGACCTCAGGTGATCTACCTGCCTCGGCCTCCCAAAGTGCTGGGATTACAGGCGTGAGCCACCGCGCCCGGCAACCAGCCCTCTTTAGGCTTAGAAATTGCCCTTAACGTCTTTAAGAGGAACATTGTAAAATAAACCTCTAAACTAACAAGAACAGACTACTCTGATATTTCTGATCTGTATTTTCCCCTGAGTATTACTTATACTAGCATCCTTCAGATCGTTCCGTAAAATAACTACCTGCATTGATGTAGGGATGGTAAATGGAAGGAGACTAGTCTCAAAGTTATCTGTTGTGAAAAAAACTTGTTTTCTGAAATAAATAATGAATGAGTTAAATTAGGATAATGTCACGCAAGGGAAGAAAAAAGACAATAGAAGTACTCTAAAATGTTTCCACTGAAACAAAATTTGTATTGTAACCAGGAGTCATTTAGATATAATTTGCTTATTTTGCATAAATAAACCTCTGTTGTCCAGGTATTTGACTTCCAGAAATAATAGAAATAATAGTTTAAATGTGTGAACACATCAAACATAAAACCATATAAAATGTACATTGAGTGACAGGATGGACTTCAGTTTTATAATTTATCTGGCTCTAATTCCACTAAAGTAAATAGTTTTAGATCAGGAATGTATATATAAGAAAGAAACAATTTGTTCCTTCATATAGGAAACTTTTAAATAGGAAAACATCCATGAACATGGTATATCATTTCATTATCCAGATCTCTTCCCCCAACTCCCCAATAAATTTTATGGTTTTCAACAGATAAGAATTACTGAGTTGGCCAGGTGTGGTGGCTCATGCCTGTAATCCTAGCACTTTGGAAGCCAAGGCAGGCAGATCATCTGAGGTTAGAAACGAGTTCGAGATCAGCCTGGCCAACATTGCTGAAACCCCATCTCTACTAAAAACCACACACCAAAAATTAGCCAGGTGTGGGGCGCACACCTGTAATCCCAGCTACTCAGGGAGGCTGAGGCAGCGAGAACATTGCCTTTGAACCCGCGGAGGCAGGGGTTGCAGGCTGAGCCAAGACTCAATGGCCACTGCCAAAACTCTGGCCTGGGCGACAAGCAGAAAACACACCCTCGGTTCAACACAAAAAAAAAAAAAAAAAAAAAGAATTCACTGACTCGAGTTAATCTCTTATTCTTCTTGAAGTCTTTGTTGCCCTCATCGCAATCGGTGTTTTTCCCCAATAATAGCTTTTAAAAAAAAAAAAAAAAAAAGAAAGGCCAGCCCCGGTGGCCCTAAAGCCTGTAATCCCGCACTTCTTGGGAGGCCAGACACGACAGGCCGCGCAATCACGCAAGCTCAGGGCAGATCAACGACCAAATCTGGTACAAACACGGTGAAACCCCCCCCCCCCGGCCCCCCCCGCCCGTCTCTCACTTCAACAAAAATACAAAAAAAACTAGCCGGGCAGGTTGGGCTGCGCGCTCTGTAGTCCCCAGCTACTCAGCGTTGGCTTGAGGCAGGAGAACGGTGCTGACACCCAGGGGAGGCGGAGCTTGAGTGAGCTTGAGTCCGACCAGACCTGGCAACTCCAGCCTGGTACAGGAAGTGAACGCCTCCGTCTCAAGAAAAAAAAAAAAAAAAGAGCAGAAAGGAAAGGAGAGAGAGAGAGAGGGATGGGCCTTGGCGGTTGGCGGTGGTCATCGCCCTGGTAACTTCCAGCACTCCTTGGGGAGGCCCAGGTGGCTTCGGATCACCCTGAGGTCAGGAGTTTTGAGACCACGACCTGGGCCAGCAAAATCGGTTAAAAACCCTGTCTTTTACTAAAATACCACAAAAATTAGCCGGCGTGGTGTGGTACACACCTGTAGTCCAAGCTACTTAGGAGGTGAGGCAGGAAGAATCGTCTGGGAAACACGGAGGTGGAGGCGTTGCCAACGTGACGCGACATTCGCACTACTGCACCTGCAGCCTGGGCAACAAACAAGATTCCATCCTCGGCGCGAAACCACAAAAAAAAACAACAGAAAGAAAGCAAGACGAAGGAGAGAGAATGGGTCCTTACCTATGTTATCCAGGCTAGGTTTTAAACTTTGTGGGCTCAACCGGAATCCTCCTGCCCGTCACGCCTCCAGGGGGGGTAGCGCCATAATTACGCTTTTTTATTTGAATTCATAAAATTATAGTATATAATTTTGATATTTAGTATACTATAAGTTTATATATTGCTCAAAAGAGCTGCTGATGACAGAGACGCCGTCTCTGTCCTCCAACGGGATCACAATGGTGTGTTCCATGGCTTACTCGCACCCTCGAGACCTGTGCCTCAAAGCTTAAACCTCCTAACCTAGCCTTCCAAGGTAGCTGGGACTCAGGTGCACACTGCCAACCCCAGATAATTTTCTTTTTCTTTCGTTTTTTTTTTTTTTTGAGACAGAGTCTCACTCTGTCGCTAAGCGACTGGAGCGCAGTGGTAACGATCTGCAGTCACTGCAACCTCCAACTCCAGGGTTTTTCAAGTGACTTCTCCTGCCTCAGCCTTCAAAGTAGCTGGGGACTCAACGAATGGGTGGGTTGGCCACCCACGCCCAGCAAATTATAATGGTATTTTTAGTAGCGAAGATATGTTTCCGACCATTACCTTGGTCAGGCTGGTCTCGATCTCTTGACCTCGTGATCCCAGCACTTTGGCCTCCCAAAGTGGTGGGATTACAGAGGTGAGCCACCGTGCCCAGCCCACCCCAGCTAATTTTCTGTATTTATTTATTTATTTTTTTTGGTAGACACTGGGATCTTGCTATATTCCCAGGCTGGTCTTGAATCCCTAGCTTCCAGCGATCTTCCAGTGATCCTCCTGCCTTGGCCTCCCAAAGTGCTGGTACTATAGGCATGAGTCACTGCACCTGGCCTCCGGTCCCCTTTTTGATGCTGCCAGACTGATGTCTTGAATACAAACAGGAGTCATGCAGCCCCACATCCTCCACTGCCCTCAGGGTGAGGGTGAGCATCTTGGCATGGTGGACATACCTGGTTTCCTAACCTGCTACCCTTACGAACTCACGTGCATGCTGGGCATGGTGTTTTCATTCCTTTGAATGCTCTGCTCTAAGCCCATACACATCTGGCTGCTCCCACCATCCCAGTGAACTCCTATTCATCCTTCAAAACCCAGTTTTGTCATCGACTCCCCAGTGGAAATTTCCTAGGCATTTTTTCCTGAGGCATCCTAACAGTGCTTATACCAAGCATCTTTGACAGGTGGTACCACACTATACTGCAGTTCCTTTATTTCCTAGCCGATCTCTTCATCTCCCTTCCTCCAATTCCAGCCCCTGACTATGGACTCCCTACAGGCCAGCACCTAGCAACACATGGCAGAGCCGTCTTCTTTAATGTTTGTTGAATGAATGAATGAGGACAAATCTAAAGATTTAATTTAAAAGGAAGGTAACGGTACATAAAATTGCCGCTTACCCTAGATACAGTGCTATATTTTTCTTGCAAGGATGTTTAATCAAGCGTGTTGTTGTAGATCGAAAATACAAGTGGTCCTAGAGAGATAATCACAAAATCTTAATAATATCAATAACCATAAACGGCTGGTAGAAATAATTTTTAATACACACCATTATCAACATAAAGGGTGAAATCTGAATTAGGTAGGTGGATTGTACCAATGTCATTTTCCTGCTTTGACCTTGTACTATGATCATGTCAGATGTGACTGCTGGGGGAAGCTGGCGGAAGGGTTTGGGACCTCCCTGTACTGTTTTTGCAACTTGCTGCAAATATGTAATTATGTCCAAATAAACTGTTTTTTTAAATTCACGGGGTGGGCCAGGTGCGGTGGCCCATATCTGTAATCCCAATACTTTGGGAGGCTGAGGTAGAAGGATTCCTTGAGGCCAGAGTTTGAGACCAGCCTGAGCAGCTTAACAAGACCACATCTCTATAAAAAATATAAAAATTAGCTGGGCATGGTAGTGCATGCCTGTAGTCCCAACTACTGGGGAGCCTGAGGCAGAAGGATGGCTTGAGCCCAGTTGTAGGCTGCAGTGAGCTATGATCTCAGCACTGCACTACAGCCTAGGCAACAAAGAGAGACCTGTCTCTAAAAGAAATGATAATTTAAAAATTAAAAAATTTCAGGCCAACTGCAGGGGCTCACCCCTGTAATCCCAGCACTTTGGGGGACCGAGGCAGGTGGATCACGAGGTCAGAAGTTTGAGACCAGCAGGGCCAACAGGGTGAAACCCCATCTCTACTAAAAATACAAAAATTAGATGGGTGTGGTGGTGCACGCCTGTAATCCCAGCTACTTGGGAGGCTGAAGCAGGAGAATCGCTTGAACCCGGAAGGTGAAGGTTGCAGTGAGCCGAGATTGCGCCACTGCACTCCAGCCTGGGCGACAGAGCAAAACTCCGTCTCAGAAAAAAATAAAAATAATTAATTAACAGGATAATTATTCATATCACATCTCATACTTATACATGTTACTATTTGTTTACAGATGATTAGTTATTTGAAAGGCCAGAGAATGATAAATATTAACATGTTAGAAACCAGTCACTTGAAGATTGTTTCAAAATGCTGACACCATTTGTGAAATTATGCAGTTTTTTTTTCTTTTTTTTCTGAGACAGAGTCTTGCTCTGTCACTCCAGGCTGGAGTGCAGTGGCGCGATCTTGGTTCACTGCAACCTCTGCCTCCTGGGTTCAAGCAACTGTCCTGACTCAGCCTCCCGAGTAGCTGGGATTACAGGCGCCCACCACCATGCCTGGCTAATTTCTGTATTTCTAGTAGACACGGGGTTTCACCATATTGGCCAGGCTGGTCCTGAACTCCTGACCTCAGGAATCCACCCGCCTCGGCCTCCTAAAGTGCTGGGATTACAGGCATAAGCCACCTCTCCTGGCCGAAATTATGCAATTTTGTCAATAGGAAACGAATTTGAACTGACAGAATATTTTTTCTTCATGCATTTTAAGCATGAAGTAAACTGACATTTCCTGTGACACTATTATGAGGTAAACAAAGTAACAGGGTTTGCTTCTACTGTTACTCTGCATTTTAAAATCTCCTATCAAGGCTGGGCACAGTGGCGAACGTCTGTAATCCCAGCACTTTGGGAGGCTGAGGCAGGTAGGTTACTGAAGTCCAGGAGCTCGAGATCAGCTTGGAAAACATGGCAAAACCTTGTCTACAAAAATACAAAAGTTAGCTGGGCATGGTGGCACACACCTGTAATTCCAGCTACTAGGGAGGTTGAGGCATAAGAATCGCTTGAGCCAGGGAGGCAGAGGTCATGGTGAGCCGAGATGGCACCACTGCACTCCAACCTGGGCAACAGAGCAAGACCCTGTCTCAAAACATGAAATCTCCTGAGAGAGAAGTAAACAGAACACTCGATAAAAACTCAAGACCATCTTAGTTCTATTCCCACTTCTTCCTCTTGGCGCTGTTCGGATGACTTGATCTCTCTAAACTTGTTTCTCAGTGAAATGGGGAGGATTAATCCCTACTTCAAAGGGGAATGAATTGTAAAGACTGAGTAATGAGGTCGGGCGCGGTGGCTCAAGCCTGTAATCCCAGCACTTTGGGAGGCCGAGGCGGGTAGATCACGAGGTCAGGAGATCGAGACCACCCTGGCTAACATGGTGAAACCCCGTCTCTACTGAAAATACAAAAAAAAAAAAAAAACTAGCCGGGCATGGTGGCGGGCGCCTGTAGTCCCAGCTACTCGGGAGGCTGAGGCAGGAGAATGGTGTAAACCCGGGAGGCGGAGCTTGCAGTGAGCCGAGATCGCGCCACTGCACTCCAGCTTGGGCGACAGAGTGAGACTCCGTCTCAAAAAAAAAAAAAAAAAAAAAGACTGAGTAATGATCTTAAATGCCTGACAACACTGGCACCCAAGAAATACAAGGAAGTGTTACCTCTGATCTTGTAATTAGATAAAAGTGAAGGATGAATTTAAGTGTGGAACTACATACCCCTTGAACGTCCTGTATGACATTAAACACTTTTCCTGTCCTCACTGTGCGAGCACTAGAAGGTGACAAGAAAGACCATCTGTCAATTTTTATTGAATATTCAGCATGACTCCTCCTACTCAGCCACCTCAGGGTTAACCCTAAAGTATCTGTTCTTTTTTTTTTTTTGAGATGGAGTCTCACTCTGTCATCCAGGCTGGAGTGCAGTGGTGCAATCTCGGCTCACTGCCACCTCCGCCTCCCGGATTCAAGTGATTCTCCTGCCTCAGCCTCCCGAGTAGCTGGGACTACAGGCACGCGCCACAACGCCCGGCTAATTTTTTCTATTTTTAGTAGAGTTGGGGTTTCACTGTATTAGCCAGCATGTTCTCGATCTCCTGACCTCATGATCTGCCCACCTTGGCCTCCCGCAGTGCTGGGATTACAGGCGTGAGCCACCAAGGCCAGCCGAGAATTTCTAAAAGACCATCCTGGCGTAACACAGGTGAACACCCCGTCTCTACTAAAAATACAAGAAAACTAGCCGGGCGAGGTGGCGGCGCGCCTGTAGTCCCAGCTCTTGCGGGAGGCTGAGGCAGGAGATGGCGCAAACCGGAGGCGGAGCTCTTGCAGTGTGCGAGATCGGCCACTGCACTCCAGCCCGGTGCACAGAGCAAGACTCCGTCTCAAAAAAAAAAAAAAAAAAAAAAAAGATCTCTGTGACATGACTAAGTTTAAGGAAAAGTGCTGTGCCTTGATACGCATATACAAACATCTTCATAAACCTTTTAGTGCATAAAGAGCAGCATGCTAGCAAGTCCCACCTTTCGCCCTAAGGCGGTTTTTTCTACTTCCAGTAAACAGAAATACAATCGAGTTTGTTTTTTTTTTTGAGACCGGAGTCTCGCTTGCTCCCAGGCTGGGACAGTGCAGTGGCGTGATCATCGGCTTCACTGCCAACGCTCCGCCTCCCG